GATGACATCAGGGATGGCACCGATGCTGGAGAAGGAAAACGAGAAGAAGAGACTTTTGAAGATAATTGCAGACCAAGCTGCCCAGATTCACAGACTGACTGACTGTGTGGAGTCACTTAATGCCCAGGTTTCTAAGCTTACAAGTATCATTCGTAAAACAGTTCCCAATGTTGATTCTTCCAAAACAGCAAAACATAGACATAACAGCCATTTGAGTGACCTACATACTGAGACCGATGAGGACACACAGGGTGCTACCGACGAAATCCCCAAATAACAAATATTCAGGCAACCTAAAACCGTCTGTGTCTGTAGCCTCTACCGCTTCTGCTAGTCAGCCAAGGAAAAGACCTTTATCAGCATCCACACAGAGTGCTCCTCCTTTTATACCCCAAGTGCAGTCTGATCCATTGGCTGGCTGCAACTCATCTTCCTTGCCATCCAGCGGATCTCTAAACACACAGGCAGAATCGTCTCGCCAGGTGCATATTACTCCAATCGTGTTGAGAGATGCGACAAAATGGCGCACCTTAAACTATTCCTTTGTAAGTCTTGGTATTCGTATTGAACGGGCAGTCGCCATTGACGCTAGGATACGTATCATCCCCAAAACCGAAGACGATTATCGCAGGATAATCCGTCTTTTCAAAGAGGAAAACATTCCTCATCACACTTTCCCTTTGCCCATGCCCTTGGTGGTGGTGATCCTGCCTAAGCCGTAGAAGTCACAGCAAGTGTTCAACGAGCACGAATTGCTGGGGCTCTCTATCAGAGCCGAAGTTCAGAAGAACTCTCGACTCATTGGGCAGTCTCAACGCTGCCAGAAGTATGGACAAGCACAGTTGTATTGCACTGCGCCGCCAAAGTGTCTAAAATGTGCCCAAGACCACATGACACATATGTGCCCTCAAATAGGACAAGATGTGCGAACTGTGGGGGGGACCATCCGGCAAATAGTCCGACCTGTAGATTTACTCCTAGGAGAGATCTACAACTCATCGCACAAAGGCGAGCAAAGTCCTACGCGGACGCAGCAAGAGATGACACTTCAACTGCCCCTGCTGTTTCGAGCTCATCTACGACTACTCAAAATGTGGACCTAGCAACAGCGCTCAGGTCCCTACAGCAGATTATTAGTCCCCTGATACGCGCCACTAAGGCATTGCAGGCGATCTTTCCGCTAAATGGCTAGGTACAATAGCAGACAGCCTGAATTCATCAAAATTCTTTTCTGGAATTGTTTGGGTCTTAGGGATGTCCCCAAAAAACGGAATTTCATCAAGCTCTTTTGGATGAGAACGTAGATGTAGCTCTGCTGCAGGAAACATTGCTTAATCCGGGAGATCGTCTAGCTTTCCCGAATTATGATGTTATCCGCGCTGATAGATTAACTGGACTGGCTGTTTGGCAGTGCTAGTAAAACGTGGTATTGACTATTACAGAAGCACAAACGCTGAGATGCAGAGCATCGAGGCAATTTCTGTGGTAGTGAATATGACGGGAGGTATCTCGTTGAAAACCACATCGGTTTATGTCAGATGTGGTGCCAGGCTGCAAGAGACGGATCTGGAAGTCCTGTTTGACTGCTCGGGTCCGCTTATTGTAGCAGGGGACTTTAACTGAAAACATCGAGCATGGCACTCTAGGTTAAATTCCACCAGTGGGATTCGACTTTACAACCATGTGATACGAAACGGCTACCTCATACACAGCACTGAGGAGCCGACTCACCACACATATAATCACCTTCAGGCACCAGATGTCATTGACTTCGCGATATCTAGAAACTGTAGATTCAGTGTCACTTCTCGAATCATATATGACATTTCGAGCGATCATCTTCCTATCGTACTGAAAGTGGGTAATGAGCAAACCTTGGAAGGGGAAACTCTTCCAAGGAAAAGGGTTGATTGGGAGCTATACAAGTCGCTCCAATATCCCGATCATAGATGACGAGAACGATATAGATGCTGCTCAAGCGGAGTGGACAAGTTCCGTTCAGCAAGCTCTGCAGCGTGCAGCTGTACTACCAGTACGACGACACGGCAGACCTTTTCTCCCTGCAGACATTCGTCAGAAAATTTCTGACAAAAGAGCTGCAATTAAGCAAGCGAAGAGTTCTTGTCACCCAGATGACATTCACAGAGCAACGAATCTTGTTCATGAAGTGAGAAATGCTCTTCATGAATTCCGTAATGAGCAATGGAACGACTTTCTGTCGGGGATGCTTGACTCAAGTAGTCCTCTCTGGAAAGTTGCAAAGTCGCTCAGAAACGGTACGCGAGAACAACTCCCGCACATCCACGGTCCTAGGGGCATAGTCTGTAGGACAGAGGAAAAGGTCGAGATTTTCGCTGATGCAATGGAAAGTCAGTTCTCTCCCAACTATGACCTTGATAATGACCTCGACGAGGAGCAACATATTGTAAGATCCGTCAGGAGATATTTTAGGGCCAACGGTGTCAGTGGCAGTAGTGCCTCCCTTAGTGATTTTTCCTCATAGGAATCTTCAGAAGATTCTTCAATTGAAGAGCTGCACGGCACATCAGCGGAATCTCCTGAGACTCCGCATTGCACACCAGCAGAGCTCCAAGGTCATATTAAAGACCTCAAGGTGCGTAAAGCACCTGGAGAGGATCGAATCACTAATAAGGCGTTGAAGCTATTTTTGCGGAAGTACTTAACGTATCTCGTGGCAATAATCAATGCCATGCTAAGGACCCAGCACTTCCCAACGGCGTGGAAGACCGCTGATGTCATAATGCTTCCAAAGAAGGTGGGTTCGATATTCCCCCAGGATTACCGCCCCATTAGTCTACTGTCAGCTCCTTCTAAACTCACTGAAAAGGTGATTCCACGTCACCTTGAAAATATCTCGGCAGACCACAATGTGATTCCTGACGTGCAATTTGGCTTTCGGTCTGAGCATAGTACGGAGCTACAGGCCATAAGGCTTGTTGAACGAGTAACCAGGGGGTTCACCCGTAACGAAAGTACTGGCATCTTGCTACTGGATGTCTCAAAGGCATTTGATAAGGTGTGGCACAAAGGTCTTCTCTACAAATTGATCCATAAGGGCTTCCCTTCTGGCTCCTAAAACTATTGAAATCCTTTCTCGAGGATAGGAAATTTAGGATCAAAATTAATAACGTTCTGTCGACCACACGGCCCATCAAAGCCGGTGTCCCTCAGGGTTCGTTTCTTGGACCAGTCCTTTATTCACTTTTTATTCATGACGTCTTTTGCCCCAGCAGCTGTGAAACCTATCTCTATGCTGATGACACTGCCCTGGTGGGCCAGTCGTGCTCTGGGGATCTAGTTCACGACAGGCTGCAAAGTGCAGTGGACGAGGTATTGGAATGGGCGAATCGGTGGCTGAACAAAATTAATCATTCGAACACGCAGGCAATCTATTGTACTAAAATCGTAGCGGCGCCCCGTCTGAGGTTTCAGTGAATGGAGCTCGGGTACCATGGGAAAGCTCTGCTAAGTATCTCGGTGTCACTCTTGACAAGGGGATAACCTGGCAGAAGCACACTGAAGCGTTAAAATCTAAATTCCAAATCTCGTTTTGGCAACTCTACCCTATGCTATGTAGAACATCAAAATCAAGTTTGATCAACAAAGTTCGGCTATACAAGATGGTTATTAGACCAGCGATCACTTACGCAAGTGCGGCTTGGTGTTTTCTCGCCAAAACGCATTTGCGTAGCCTGCAGGTTTTGCAGAACAGAGCCTTGCGTACAATCACTAACGCCCCATGGTATGTTTCCAACGAGACCCTTCACAGAGACCTTGACATCCCTTACCTAAGGAACTACATCAAGCAACAAGCGCAGCTATATTACAGTCAAGCAGAATCGCATAACAACACTTTGTTGCGCGAGTCAGTAGACTACACAGTCGAGCAAGTTGGCAAGCACACAAGTCCGCGACTAGCACTGTGAACAAAATTAAATCGTGCGACTTTAGGTCCAACCAAAATTATAATATTTTCTTCAACAACCAATTCCAAAATTAATTTTAGGATGAATTTAAAATTGCCGAATACTAACTAGCAATGCCAAGGCACCCCTCAAATTGATGCACTTCTTTTTTCTTTGCTCTCCCTCCTTCCTTCCTTCCTTTCTTCTTCCCTTCTTTCTTCCTGACTTTGTTTGGTATCTGGGCAACCAGTCCTGACAGACCTACTGACTTACAAGACTTCAACCAAGAGCAAAGGTCCTACGGACCGCTCTGCCAGACAATGACGAATAGTGTCATATTGACATTCTAATAATTATACCATCTTGTAGAGGAGAAGAAGTGGCAATGTTAATGTGCAATTTATTTTGGAATCTCATTATAACGAATGTCGCGAAAAGTTCAAACTATTGTATAAATAAAGCCGGATTATTATTATTATGTTGGTTAAAATTCGTTTTCTCCGTATCCCTCCGGAAGTACTTTGTATCGCTAAACTTTCTAAGAAGCTTTTGTTAGTTACCTAAATACACATCTTTTCCTCCATATAAGCGACTTCGTATCTGATCGTTTCCGAGAACCCAATGAAACATAATCCAGACAGCTTTGCAGAGTCAACCGACTTCAGATCATTTTTTCATTTATTTTTAGTTGTTAATTGTTTTTCTTAAAACTCAGTACCACAGCAATAATGTCTATCCCGTCGCAGATATATACAATTTCCAAGATGTTATACTAAATTCATTTTCAATGCACAGCCAAAACAGAGATCATTGCGTTTTCACCTGGTAACAGAAAGTATAGGTCTGGATCCGTATTTTACTTGTCGTCTATATACCGTAATAGTTCATCTGACGGTTTCACTACTAAATAAATTAGCTGAATGGAAACAAATCAACTAGAGTCTTCTATACATTTGTAGAATTTTAGCAAACATGTATACCCTTTCACCTTTGACGGACGTCTGGCATTGCGCCTGATACCTGATTGTTATTCCAAGAAGAATGATTCTAATGATAAATTATATAAAATCTTACCTGTTTGTGCATCTCCACATTAAGGCCATAGGACATTTCGTAATACTGAAACAAAAAACAGGTATAAAAAGTTACTAGTAATCAGTAATTATCGTAATAATAACAATAATAAATGGGCTTTATTTCGTACAAAAGCACAAAAAAGGCGAAGTGTTGCTAAGAGTAGCGATCTTCAGCTTAACCTTACAAAAATATTCTGAGTCATTTCTGCAACACTCTCAAGCAATCGAAGTTTAGGTAATATCCATTTTTATCAAATTCCGTTAAATTATATATTCATTCTCAAAAAGTTAATAGGAACTAGGATGATAAAGTGAAGAAAGACCTGAGAAAACACTATGCTGAAAAGTGGTCAAAGATCAAGTCCAAGTTTTTGATAAGAAAGTGTTATTCACAAACATGCCTGTGACGCCTCAACGATTGCTGTAGATTGTAGATTTAACGAGATGGTTATGAGGGTTTTCTTTTGGGACAGATGATCTCAAATACACAAATGTTGGATTTGCCATTGACCTCTTTAGCATCTTACGACCGTATTTTTGTCTCGCTTAAGTGGGACAAAAATCTGTGAAATTTGGGAATATCGTGTTGAAACAATTTGATAAAAACAATGAGCCGTATTTAAGGAATGATGAGCAAAACTAATCAGCACAAGTTAATTTCTAAAAGACCTTTAAATCGGTAAGCTGGTGTCATTGCGTTAATCTGGTGTGGCCTACAACAAATTGCTAACAATAGGACCATTGGCCATTCTGCTATGTAGCTGAATTCCTAATGAATCAATCGTAGTCCGACCCGATGATTTAAGTGCGTTTACACGTTCTAAGACGAAGCAATTTTCTATATTAGTATTCTAGAGGTACGTTTTTAATATAATAATTTGCAGACACATGTATCGGGCGGGGGTTGTGCCGTAATATTTTGTAGACTGTCAGAACGTTTGGCACATGTTGCGACACGTGCGGTGCGCCCAGCACATTTAATTTGTTATATTATGCAACATTATATCAGTACAAATGTGTCATATACATAAGAACTGAAATCTTCGCGACGCAAGCTGCGACACATGTAGCGCGTCGCAACCACACATTTTCGTCCCCGGCGCTTGCCCCACAAAATGTTGCATATTGTAAAAACTCCTGGCACGTGACGTACCTTTATTAACGTGGCGAATATGTAAAGGTAGTATGATTCCGTTTCAGTAGCGCTGTGTAGTAAGTAGGTCTAGCTGATGCTGACAAGCATCCAAGAATCATTTCTTGCATGAAAACTCATGCAAACATCACAAACAAGAAAATACAAGTAGATCTTCGTTTGGGCTTAGGTTATGCAGATGCCTTATAAAGGTGCACGTCACTGATCCGCATTGTGAGGTCGGACGGCACGCACGAATAATCGACAATCCGATCAGGATCTCTGGAATGGGCAATATTTCCGATGCGTGGCCAGGACTTAATCAGTAGATGCACACAGTCAGCTACTGGATATCTTATTGAAAGTGGAAACACCATAGCGGACGCATCATACACCAACTTGTTTAATACGAACATCCAGTGCGGGACTGTGGGCGAATAACTTAAAGCCCCCTGTTGATTTTATAGAGCTATGTACGAGTTCACACAACAACTCAAAAGATATGAAATGGCCAACAAAATTCACAATCTGAGCTTAATCCAAATGATGCAAACCGAAATTATATAGATTGTAAATGTGCTACCCGACAAACCTATATACCAAAACAATCGTGTAGTGCTAATTTTAATCATCAGTCATGTATCTAACCCACCTTCAAATCTAATCTACGTGAAAATCTTGCGAACGAGATGTATCAACACTAATTTCCGAACTCGATTTGTCAGAAGGCGCTCTATTTGTCCCGGGCATGACACCGACACGCCGTTTTCCAATTTATTTATTAGACAGTGATGGATCATGACGCTATCATAAAAATATCAAGTCGAGCAAACACGATGGAATACAGAAAGAAAAAAACTAATATTCATTAGAGAGCATAAAAGAAACGCAAATACAATAAATTACGTTCGCCTTGAACCTCCTTCCACAAATGTTTGCTACAATATTGATTTGGATCACGTTCAAGAGCTGTCAGATACACCATTAATTTAGAGTAGCAACCAGAGGCAGCTCTAGCAGCTGGAATTGGGATCGTCTCGACTGGGTAAAGTGCACACAATAAATTACTCTGATTTTTATACAGGGCGCTATATTGTAACCGCGTAAACGTATGTGAAAGTAAAAATAATGTTCCTTTCAGACGCATGGACATCCACGATGAACAACGAAGCGGGAGGCCGTCGATCCCCTAGAAAGTTATGGTGAAGATTCAGCAAATCTTGCTCGAAGATCGGCGAATCACGGTCCGGCAACAGGCGGGGGAAATTCTTGAGGCTTCTGGAAAAGCTAAGACGGGCAAACCCAAAATCGTCGTAGGGGAAAACTCTCCAAAGCGTAAGACTGCACCACAATAACGCGCATCCTCATATCTCACAACAAAGGAAGGACTGAATCGAGCGATTTACCCATCCCCTAACAGCCATGACATAGCGTTTCCGAAATTGAAACAGCACCTAGGCGGTCAACGCTTCAAGGCGCACGAGGAGTTGCAGGGAGCAGTTACTAGGTTTCCAAGCATGCTGGCGGAGGACTTCCTTGAGGCGGGAGTGAAAAAGTCCACGTCTAGAAAAATGCGTATAAAAAATGGCGACTATGTAGAAAAATAGCTGAAAGATCAACGTTTCCAATGATAAATTCGTTTTCTCTAACAAAAAATCCCTTGTGCCTGAAAAAATGTGAGAACATTATTTTTGAGACAACCTCGTATTACCATCAGTTAAGTAGTTAAAATATTAGTATAACTATAATACCTAATAAAAAATAATATGATTTTTGCCATGATATGTAGATGGTAGATTGATTTATATGAATAATTAACACAGGCATATTACAGTAGTATATTTGTACGCGGATATTAGTTTTTTAAAAATGAAGCAATTGAGGACAAATTTTTATATCTAATTCTTTTAATGCTCGATTCACTGAGTTGCATTCGTCGTAGCTGCAGTTCTCCTGAGAAATCGTGAACAAATGTTTCATTTACATTTTCATAACAATATACGAGCATATATACATACATACAGTACTGGACAAAAGTATATAGACAAATATGAATATTTTCCTGAATACCTTTAGCAAATGAATTCATACTTCATTGCTCCATAAACAAATGCGTTATTAGTCCACAAATTAAATTCCTTGTTTTTACATTATCTGCAATGAACACAATACAAGTCTGAATGTAAGCACTTTTTTATGAGGGACAAAAATATGTAGACAAATTCTTTTCAACATTAGTTTAGTACAGTTTCGTGTCAGAAGAGGATTTTACTGATTTTAAGACCATGCCGCGTGGTCCAGAAATTTCTTTCGATGTGAAGACTAAGATCATTGAGTTATACAAAGATGGTTAATGTCAAGTCGACGTTGCCAAAAATTTTAAGCTGAAGCGTAAAGCAGTTTGGGCAATATTGAACAAATATAAACAAAAAGGTATCTTGGAAGCCTCTAAGAGAAGTGGTCGGCCTAGAAAACTAAATGCTAGATCAGTCAGATTAATAAAAGTAATTTCGTCCAAAGATCTGTTTAAAACCCCAAGACAAATAAAAGCCGAAATCGAGACAAAATGAATTGCCAGTGTTTCTACGAAAACTATACGTATAAGTAGAAGATAAAATGATTTGAAGTTATTTGCACGTCGCCGAGTAAGAAGCCGCTAATCTCGAGGAAAAACCGTAAGGACCGATTACGATTTGCACGGTTGCATCTTGATTGGAGCATCTGTGACTGGAGGAGGGTATGTTTAAGTCACGAATCCAAGTTCAATATGTTTGGGTCAGATGGTGTTCATTACGTTAGACATCATAGTGGACAAAGATTGAACTCCAAGTACACTTTGCCCACTGTCAAACATGGAGGCGGGTCTGTTATGGTTTAGGGGTGCTTTTCGGGGTTTGGCAGGGACCTTTACACAGAATAGATGGCATTATGGATAAGTTTGTATACACAGGCATACTAAAGCATGTCATATTACCCTATATGGAAGACAATATGCTCTTAAGATCAATCTTCCAGCAAGATAATGACCCGAAGAACACTTCAAATCTCGCAAAGAAATTCTTTCTGGATGAAAAAATAGCAGTTCTCAAATGGCCTTCATATTCTCCCGATATAAACCCCATTGAAAATCTATGGGAATACTTTGATAAGCAAATACGAGATAAAAATTATTCAAACAAGGATGAACTTTTTGCCGCTTTAGAGCAGATTGATGAATCTTATATCAAGAAACTTCTACAATCTATGCCGAGACGATGCCAGGCGATGATTGATAATAATGGTTATGCTACAAAATATTAACACAAATATGGTTGGTTTTCTATAATTTATTAAATTTCTATAGTCAACCGTCTCTTGTAATCAGGCGGCCAAGAGAGTTCTGGAAAATACTAACGCCAGCTACGAGATTGTAGCAGAACCAATCACTGTTTTCAAAGTTATAAAAAAGAGGCACTTATTTTAGTTGGCATTGTAGAGCGCAACTAGTCTCCACACAGAAGTAGTAGTAGTAGAATGGCATGAGAGTCCGAGGGGGACTGCTCCCAGAGAGGGTACTAGTACTACTTCACTAGTTTTTATAATTAATAACATCTCCACTTCGGATAGCCGATTGCTGATTTTGCATATTAAGCCCGCTGAAAAGCAAAGGTCACTACCACCTTGCCTAGCGACGGTCGTGCAATCTGCCGCGTTGCCAATATGTTACACCACAGGCACAGGCTTCTACAATAGGTTATGTTAATGTTAAACCAAAGAAGGAGGGGTATTCGAACATTTAGTTTAATATGTTGTTTTCATTGTGATTAGAATTATTTATTCCAATTTTGATGCGACTGCGTGTTTTAAGTTATTTTAATATTATCTTTGATTTCCACCGATGGTTATAAAATCAACATATCCTGAGTTATTAT